GAAAACCATGTCATTCTAAAAAACCGTGTAAACCAAAATCGACCAATAAGAAAATTCCATTCTTTTTTAATTAAATTTAATCAATAAGGTCATTTTGGTCATTTTCATTATTTTTTTCATAAATAAGGAAGTTATTAAGGAATATTAAATAAGGAAATTTAATAATGGAAATTATATAAATGGAATGATTTAAAGATTTTAATATATTATAATATTAAAAAATTGATTTTTTTTTTTTTTTATTCAATGAAGCTGGAAACATTCATGAAGATTTTATATTGTTATGTAATGAATGCATGATTTGAGGTTCAGTATCAAAAATTACCGGTTATGAACTTGTTTCATATGAAAAGGTTTTAATATGAAAAGGTTTCATATTATCAGAGCATAACATATTATTGAGCATATGAAAATGTTTCATTACGAAGAAACGGTTGCATATTATATTAATATGCATAATGAAAAGGTTTCATCGTAAAGAAACAGGTGCATAATATATTTTAATTTTTATGCAATTAATGTTCATATCATAAGGTTTCATTATAAAATGTTTTATTTGCTTCTTTTATTTATATTGTATATGTTCATGTACTTCCAGTTCATGATGATGAAACATATTCATGTTCAAGTTTTTATGTATATTCATAGTTGGGTTAGTGAAAATGAAACGGGTTCATGATGTAATTGATCAGTTAGTCATTAACCGCTTTAAGACTTGAAAAATGATGGTGGAGGTGAATGGTTTAGTAGATGAAATGGGTGAATAATATATTTTATTCTCTATGCAATTAATGTTCATATGAGACGGTTTCATTATAATATGGTTTATTTACTTCTTTTAGTCATGATGAAACATGTTCGTATACTCGTTTCATGATGATGAAACATATTCATGTTCAAGTTTCATGGTGATCCATGTTACATTGTGTGTGATGAGGATCCGTTTATTCGGATACTTGAAAATGAAACGAGTTCATTTACAATTGTTTAAATGAATCGGAAAAGCAATCGAGGGGTTACAAAAGTGTTACCTTTGTTTACCGATTCTACCCTTATTGATGAAATAAAATAAATATTAATTATTTTTTAATTTTTAATTTCCAAAAATAAAGTAATTTCAGCCATTGATCAATAAAATGAATGGATGAGATTGGTTTACACGGTTTACACAAATGGGTCAAGTTTTTATTTGAACACTATATATATATAGGTTGGTTCAAATAGAAACCAACCATATGGTGTAAACTAAGCTAACCAACCTTAACCAATCACATTCTTTCTTCACTTTAGATTCAAATCTAAATTATAAATTAATGATAAGGGTAATTTTGTAATTTAACCTTTTTGTAACCCCCTAATAATTAATTGGGAGTTACAAATCTTAAAAGATACCTCTAATTAATCATGATATTTTTCTAATTTCGTTATTATTTCATGTTCATGTTCTTCTTTTCAAGTTATGTTCTACATATATTGAAATTGGTTGTCTAAGTGTACAAGATTTTCGTTTCGTCCAAGATACATGGAGAATCCTATTGTAAAAGAATATCAGAATAATGAAAACGATAAACGCTTGCAGTCTATGTTCATATCTGCACACATACACAACGATCCTTGATTTTGAAAATGTTCATATATGTGCATCTCTTGCAGTCTATTTTCATATATGTTCACCATATGAACAACTTGTTTTCATTGAAAGACACAATCGTTGTTCACACGAACCCGTGACGATGTCATACGGTATGACATTGAAAAACATCACACCATATGAACATAGTGTTTACATTGTAAGACACATATGTTGTTCACACGAACATAGGGCCGACATGTGAACATATATGAACATATGAACATAGTGTTTACATTGCAAGACACAGATGCTGTTCACATGAGCATAGGGCGGACATGTGAACATGAGTTGTGAATATGTTCATAAT